CCCTTATAGGATGAATTTTGAAAAATGCTTTAAGACGTATTTATTTAATTTTATTGAAGAACATGAATAACGAGTTTCAAGTAATTCTGATCATAAATATTTTTTTGGATTTTATTATAACATGTTTCCCCGTGGGAATTAGATAATTTCCCGTCATAAAATATAGCCTATGTCCTGCTCTCCAACTATGTCCCCACAAAAAATTACGCCAATCCGTTCCTCCGTTTCGACGTGAAAGAAAGACAAACAAACAAACACACTTTCACATTAATATTATCAGGATATGGATTTTAGTTTTTGAAAATACCTACATATACTATATAACTGGTACAGGCAAGTATTTTTAAAGTTTCTATTCTTCAAGGACTGTAGAAGTTCATCTTATCTGGCCCTTAGTTATTTTTGAAGTTCGTTAAACTCCATGAAAATTGTCAAAGTTTAATTACTAAAGCATTTTTGAAAGAAACTGTTGAGAAGAAGTACTCACAGACTGAGGAGAAAAGTTTAAGAACATGTAACGAGTACGCATGAAGAGAATAATGATGTCAGAAATAGAACCTGCATTTATGTTGTGGCTTTGGCTTTTGTATTTCTGAGAATATTCTTATGAAATTCAAGTGATATTTTTTTTCAAAAACGAAGACATAAAGTCTTCTTCGTCACTTCGCCCACTGGTCGAAATTCGAGCATAATCATTATTGAAAATGTATAAATAACTCGCTAGTTAATAGCCGCTGCTCACCCTCACTTCGCTCGGGTTCGCCTCTAGGAAAGCTCAAACAGATCTATCCCACGGGAACCGTTCATTTTACCGGGATAAAAAGTAACCTGTTGTTTGACCGGCAATATATGGTATCAGTATGCCAAATTTTATTAAATTAGGTGCATAAGTTGTTGTGTACAAAGCTGTATAAGTTACTATAGTTTTTTAACTATCCCACGGGAACTCTTTAAATTTTCGGGGACAAAAGTATTTAAAATGTTGACTGGGGATATAAGGTACCACTATGCAAAATTTCATTTAAATCGGTCCAACAGTTTCGGAGATTAGCCCGTATAAACAGACAAACAGACATAAACAAAAAAATGAAAAAATGTGTATTTGTTCTGTTTCTCTTCTTGCATCCCCCTGACTCAGTTTTTAGATTTATTTGTACGTACAGACATTTGACCTCTACAGTTTTATTATATGAATAGACTAGCAGCTCACCCTCGCTTCGCTTGGGTGTATCCCTAGGTATGTTTTAAATAGATATAAATAGTTATTAGCCAGCGTTAACCATATATTTTTTCCCCTGAATTTTTCTGATGTTGTAATAGCTACTTATTCTGTTATACGATATATATATATATATATATATATATATATATATATATATATATATATATATATATATGATACTGAAATGTTTTATCTTTACCTATTTATAAAAACAGTTTCCAATTTTTTTATCGATAACACTAAAGTTCGTCAATGGGTTATAAAAAAAACCGGTCTTCCTCTTTCTTCTCTTATATTTACGAGGGAAAGTAAAAGCCTTTGGGAGCGGAGCATCGAACTATTATTATAAATGCGAAAGGCTGTATGTTTGTGTAAGTATGTTGGTTACTTCTTCACATTGAAACGTCTGGCTAGATTTGGATGAAATTAAGTACACAATAGTGTTCAGTGGAAATCGTTTAGAAATCCAACCGGGCCTAAAGCGAAGAAACGCATTTGTGACCTACATATGTATGTAGTATTCAGTACTTTTTAAAGTCCCACTGCTGGGCACGGGCCTCTCTTCAATACGAGGGGGATCAGGTCATAGTCCACCACGCTGGCTTAAGTGCGGGTTGGCAGACTTCATATGTCTTTCGAAAACTTGCTAAGTTTTCTGAATCATGCATGTTTCCTCACTATAATTTTCCTGCACCGTAAGACCTATGTATGTAGATGGTATAACCAAATGTATATAATACTAGCATTGCCCGCGGCTCCGCCCGCGTTCAGATGACCAAAAACCAAATTCTTTAGGTTTTACATATTAGTATACTCTTACATTGCAGTTTTTTGTATTTTTCTCAGAAATGAGTCATTTTTCCGCGGTAAAAAGTATCCTAATAAATGTTAACCCGGATAACCAGCTATCACCATACCAAATTTCATCAAAATCTCTTTCGTGGTTTTTCTGTGATGTGGTAACAGATAGACGGACAGACAAAAATTCTAAAAACTAAAGATTCGGCCTCCGTATCGATAATAATGTATATTTCAATAAGATTTTCTAAAAAATATATAATGTACAGATTCGGCTTGGTTACAATTTTATTATATGTATAGATAACAAAAAATTTTAACGTTAAAAAACAGAAATACTATCATGCCGTCAGAGGCATATAGAGCAAGACTCGTAGCAAGTAAACCATTTATCGACACATGGTTTTTGTGGCGTGTTAGTTATCAAAATATAGGTTACAATGTACATATGTACTATGTATGTATGTAGGGACATTTATAGATACAGTAGCTGGGCTACCGAGCTTCGCTCGGAGTTTTTGGCCTAAAGTACAATTTTCTTTTTTATTAAAAAAAACAAAAAACTTGAATAAATATTAAAAAAAAACAAAAGTAAAAACTTTTTATGCGACCGATATTCGAACCTGGATATCTGTAATTGTTGACCTTGCACCTTGGCCGCTTGACCACGATGCTTACACCAGAGCGTGCAAATTACCGCGTGGAATAATGCAAAAGAAAATTGCATGAAAACTTGTAAACACGCGTTTTCCCAGACATAAGACTAAACTAGATCGATTCATCGCCCCCGAAACCCCCTGTACACTAAATTTCATGAAAATCGTTGGAACCGTTTCCGTGATTCAGATTATATATATTTATATACATACAAGAATTGCTCGTTTAAAGATATAGGATATGATAGATAAGGAAAATGAAGCGTTACTTATCGATTCTAAATATAAGTAAGTACCTACTCTAAACTGACTCATATAAAACTATGGTAATAACGTAATATTCTATAATAATATCTTCAGACTAAGGAATAATATTGACAGAGTTTCATAGAAATAAACATGAAACCAAAAAATAATCTTTTAAAATAGTATAGAAATTACAATTTGTATGTATTCAGTCCCTTTTTTTAACGTCCTACTGCTGGGCACGAGCCTCCCTTCAGTACGACAGGAAGTATCAGGCCATAGTCCACCACGCTGGCCAAGTGCGGGTTGGCGGACTTCACATGTCTTTTGAAAACTTGCTAGGTTCTCTCAGACATGCAGGTTTCCTCACGATGTTTTCCTTCACCGTTAAGACAAGTGGTAATCATGTTAGAAATGATTCGCACATGAAAATATTAGAGGTGCGAGACCCGGGATTTGAACTCGCTTCACACGGTTTCACAAGCGGGCGCGTTACCACTGGGTTATCACTGCATTATCAATTTGTATACTGAGTGATAAATAAATGGTAATAAATATAAGTCACTAATGGATTTTATTATAATAAAATAATAATAATTAAAGAAGTTAATATTATGCTATCTCTTTTTCAAGGCAAAGAGAAGTAATGCCTAAAAAATGACAAAAAATGTAGTACTATTTTTATTATTCAAAAATGTGTATTAATCTAATTAATCTATATTATAATATTATAAAGAGATAAAGTTTGTGAGTTTGTGACGTTGTAGGAGGTAATTTCTGGATCTACTGAACCGATTTAGGTGAAATTTCGTAAGAAGATAGTTTAAGACCCTGTGAAGGACATACTTTTCATCCTGGAAATCGTCTCTTAAGGGGGTGATAATGGGGATGTAAGTTTGTATTGGAAAGCAAGCTAGGGACGAACCCGAGCGAAGCGAGGGTGAGTGGCTAGTACATATAAATCCCTTATTGATTGAAGACCTAAACGATCTGTACGGTAAAATTGAGAATAGTAGCATAAACAGCAAATCACGCTACTATTTTTGACTTTGACATTTATTTGGGCGGGCTCCGTCTATATAATTTTTTTATCTAAGATAATATCTTATGCAATTCATATTTCTACAGTCTGTTATTTATAAAACACTAACTTACATATGCAGCAAAAACATAATGACAGATATATAGACATAGTACTTATATATGTAGAGCAATACAGGCTTTTTTCACATGCAATTAGAAATAAACTTTAAATTATTGTTTATCTACAAATCAGTTATTTGTTTTATTGTTATCCACTAATATTGCAATAATTTACTTAGTTTATAATGTATAGGAATGACACCGACAGCCAAAAAGCGACATGATGAAGTTACCTGCATTCCTTTTATAAACAGAATTGTGACATGCGGGATGAAATCTTTAGCTATTTTTGTTTTGTTACGCAAAAGAAGTATAACTTCTTACGTGCGTACTTATACACACACACGTTATTTTTTAATTATCGACATGTCAGTGTTTAGGATACATTTTAAATTTTGTATGTTAGGTTGGTATTCACGATATTCACGAGAACGGACAGATCACTAGTAATGTCATATGATTGTATTTTAATAAGAAATATATTTATGACTAGCATTGCCCGCGGCTCCGCCCGCGTTCAGATGACCAAAAACCAAATTCTTAGGTTTTACATATTAGTATACTCGTACATTGTAGTTTTTGTTTTTTCTCAGAAATGAGACATTTACCCGTGATATAAAGTATCCTATATGTTGACCCGGATAACCAGCTATCACCATACTAAATTTCATCAAAATCCCTCTAGTGGTTTTTCTGTGATGCGGTAACAGACAGACAGACAGATAGACAAAAATTCTAAAAACTATAGATTCGGCCTCTGTATCGATAATAAAGTCTATTTCAATAAGATTTTCCAAAAAAATCTAATGTACAGTTTCCTCTCAGTTACAATTATATTATATGTATAGATTTTCGTTGTTTGCGGTGTTTATTTAAACTTAGCGGAAACGAATTTTGATATTCTTGCATTTAACAATAAACTAATTTGTACATACCTCTTTTCTTAGGCATTTTCACTTCACATATTTGTATGAATAAGAATATTATATAGTATTTTTGGTACACACTTTCACTTTTAGCACTTACACTTGTTTTAAATATTCTATTTCACATAAAAACACTTTTCGGCCGACGTAAGTCTTGCGAGTGCAAACGTGAGTGGACGTATTATCTATTTCCTTCAACCAAATCGAAGTGAGTAGAGCGCATAGTGTATAGAAGTGTCATTTTTGTCATTATTAGAACTGATAAGACATAATGAATATAAAATTGATCCTTGAATTTTGTAATTATCATAATAATTATTATCGAATGAATATGCAATTAAAATTTTTATCAATATTTAACATATAATATATGACATTTATTTAGAAAATATAAAAAGAGATGCCTATTATAATAAAGGACACAGAGCTTGTTATTTCTATTAATCTTCTATATTTTTGCTTTATAATTATATAATAAATATGTTATTTAAAATTACTACCGTACAATAACCATATTTTTAATGTACATAATATGAATCTCAAACGCTATACAAATCTGTCTGTTTGTACCCTGGAATCTCTGGAATAGCGAAAACCTATGTAACAAAAACTGTCACAGGCTAAAAAAAGGTTTTAGCTCAAAAGTGAGCTCGTCGTAAGTTGGCTAGAGACGCGTCTATTCAAAGCAAGGTCAACAAAAAAAGAAGGTTAGTAAGTAATATTTTTAGTTAAGGAGATATATTCTTTTATTGAAAATAAAAAGTGGCAAGAATCTTATTGCCATATCTAAAATAAATTGAGTCTATGGCCAAAGTGATAAGAAAAAAATATATTGCACTATCTTAGCATAATCATTATTTTTGACTTATTTACTTTTGAATTTTGTAAAAACGATATTTTTGGTAAGAAAAAAAAAAATACATATATGAATGATAATATTATGATTCTAGCGAGTACAGAATAAAAATAAGAGTCCCAATATTAGACGAACAGTCGAAGTCATTTATTATAAATATGTATATGTTTGGACATTAAAACACAGCACCATCTAGTTCCACGGTATGCTACGAGGCCTGTGTTATGGATACCAGACAGTTGATACACTACACATATATAATTTTTCATACATACATATTATTAATATAAGCACCATTGGCTTTAGTATAAGCATTCGTGCTCATCACACAAATGAATTCCCCCAGTGGGACTCAAACCCGCGACCGCTGGCACAGCTAGTAGGGCACTACAAATTGAGCCAAATGTATCGTCAATATATATATATATATAGATTGTAGATTTTTGTTTGATTCAAAAACAAATCTAGTAAGTCCGTATGAAAAGCGTTATATACGAGTAATGTACATATATTGTCTCAGAAACTTGAAATAGGCTGAGCCGGCAAACAGACCACAGGTCAGAGGTTTTATTTGTTGAGAAGACAAACATGGGCTTCCCCTTAACTTTACGTATACCTTACAATTGTTTCTCGAAAAGCTGCGAAATAATTTAGTTTTAGACTTACCCTTGTATAGCTCAGGTACCTACGTCGTTAGGTGCGTTTTGTATCTATATATATATAAAAATTGATGTATGCATGTATGTTTCTTATGAACGCTAAAACGGCTGGAGCGATTTTGATGAAATTTTCAGGCAATCTTCAGATTACGTGATCCTGCAGTGAGTGATTCTATTAAGTTTGGTAGCGATGGGAAGTTTGAACGCGAGTGAAGCAGCGGGTAATACTAGTTTATAATATTATTCTAAGGGCCTACCCTTCGGGTGGGTGCGTTTCTGGATGACTAAGAGTCATATGTTTTGTTCTAATTTATAATTTATCTGCGTTCTAAATTTCATTATAATGCGTCCATCTGTTTTAGCATGAATGAATAACGTACATACACAGACACACATATAAACTTTCGCTTTTTTAATAGTAGTTAAATTAATCTCATTACAAAGTTGCCTCGTTGGTCTCATGGCTAGCACAGCAGATCTGGAAGTCCTGGGTTCGAGTCTCGTATCGGGCCAAGTTTAGTTGTTAAGTTTGTCTGCCAATTCTTAATGTCAATAAAAAAGTTTTCAGTAACAATCCGAATTTGAGAAATTGGCCTGCCTGTATTATATGTATGTTTTTACGCTGAGAACGTATGTTCTTTTGTGTTCAATCTTTATGTTTATTTTCAAATTAACTCCTAAACAAATCTTAAAAAGGCTGTAGACTTGTTAATGGAAGTTAAGGAGAATTTTTTATTCAGGACATTAACACAGCACCATCCAGTTCCATGGTAAGCTACGAGGCTTGTGTTATGGATACCAGATAGTTGATACACTACACATATATAACTTTAAATACATACATATTATAAATACATACATATAAACACCCATAACTGGAGTACAAACATTCGTGTTCATCACACAAATGTATGCCCCCAGCGGGACTCGAACCCGCGACCGCTGGCGCAGCAAGTAGGGTCACTACAAACTGAGCCAAACGTTTCATCGTCAATTAATGATGAAAACATACGAGTGTAAAGGCTCGAAGCTAAATTGAAATTAAAATGAACGCAAATCGCATTACAATGGTAACGCTGCGGTTATAGCGAGGCTCGTATAAAGTTAGTACGACTTGTCTAGTTTAATCTAACTTCAGTCAAACTTACTGTGTGATCCGAGTTATTCAACGACACTTGAATTTTATAGTTGATCGTTATCGAAATAAAATTGGGCAAAAAATCTATATAAATGCTTTAGACTTTTATCCTGTCTGGAAATCGAATTTAGAATAGTACCTCGTTTAGTGAACTTAGGTAGTATTTTGTAGCGTATTCATATTTATCTAATGTAATATATTTAAACGAGCAATTCTTGTTTATTTTTTTATACCGGTGATTTCCGAGGAAATGGCTCTCACAATTTGCAGAAATTTGGTATGTTGGGGTTTTCGGGTGCGAAAAATCGATGTAGGTTATACGACTAACCTACATCGATTTTTCGCCCCCTTCGTATGGGAAAACGCGTGTTTTCGAGTTTTCATGCGGTTTATATATATATATACACACATATATATATATATATATATATATATATATATATATATATATATATATATATATTCCATACCGACCGTACATTAGTATTATAAATAAAAATCCGTTTAGTACAGAGAAGAAATAAGAATACAAATGAAGACTTTTATTATGAGTTGAAATCAGTACCTACAATTGTATTTCTACCAAGAATAGAGCTAATATTATAATACTTTAAAACTAACTTTAAACAAGGAGTAAAAGCTAGTGAGATATTTTTCATTATTTCTATTCATTGCAATTAAAGTTGTTTAACATTTAGTGTCAAATTGGGAACAACTAAAATGTCATTTAGTAAAACCCTCGGCTGCGAAATTACGTTCCTTTGAAACTCAGTCACGTTCGAAGTTAAACGAATTTCTAGGAATTATGTTATCTACGACAGGTGCTGTGACATAGATTAGGTTAGAAATCCAAAATTATAGTGATACAAATTGACTTACAAGTGACTTTTCACACCGATGTTTGAATAGTAGTTGTTGTAACCGTATGTATGTTTTTGTTTATGTAACACCGAAAAGAATATCTTTTATGTCGTTTTTAGGTAAATTTGATTAAAGTACTCTTTTAAGGTAACTCGTGTGTCTGTGTGTTGTAATAGTCTAAGGCAATAAGTTAGTAATGTAGCAAAATAAAGCTGTCAATGTCAAAAAGTTTTTTTTTCTATCTATACTGTGATGATGAGTATGTATGTATTCAGCCCTTATTTCAACGTCCCACTGCTGGGCACGGGCCTCCCTTCAGTACGAGGTGGATCAGGCCATAGTCCACCACACTGGCTAAGTGCGAGTTGGCGGACTTCACATGTCTTTCGAAAACTTGCTAGGATCTCTCAGACATGCAGGTTTCCTCTCGATGTTTTCCTTCACCGTAAGGCAAGATGATGAGTGTTTCTATAAAACCTTATTGGTTGAAAAACAAATATATTTTTAATGTCAACAAAAACGAAAATTATGTACCAAAATTTAATTCAATTATGTTAAGCTTCTACCATAATTTTAGGTCACAGTAATCAAGTTTTAATTTCATAAACAAAGTGTCACAGAAGACGAATACAAAAGGTCTGCGAGACCGTCCAGAATTATTTAAAATTGTATATTACATGGACATACATATCTTTTTTCCTGTATTTTACTATAGGACCCTAGATTCTAAATTATTTATAACTTTGCTGCAGCTTCACTGAGGTAACTTTAAGCTTTTACAATATTTTAAAGGAAATTCTTTCCATATATGAGCTTTTATCTGTGGCTTTGTATGCAGAGAAATTTATTGTACATATGCTTATGTTATTACTTTTATAATTACCAGAAAAAAAAACGAGGGCGTGTAAACTTTACGCGCGATTGAAGTGAAACTTTTTTTGACGCTGTGGCAGATAGCCACATCAAAATATAATAGAAGAATTTAATAAAACTATTAGTAATAAATATTCACGTTTATAAGTAATAATTATTATAAAAATATAAATGTAACATTTTTTATTAAAATTATTTCTAATAAATTTGACTCTCACTTCCGCGACACTCATTTTCTAATATTTCTTTTCTAATAAGTCAATACTTACCTCCCCAGTCAGCCTAAAGAAGTTTTGCTTCAATATAGCTTATCATAAATTTTGCTTTTTATAGGATAATTATGTAAGGATGAAAATATAGTAATTACTTTCTTAGATTTACGGGAATATTTGACATTTTAAAAACGTCAGGAACCAAAAATCGAAATAAATGCGCGAAATAATCCGAAAAGAAGGTTTTATTTAAAATATAATAATTGTGTCAATAAAGAAATATTCTATTCTAATAAATCTAAAAGATAGACATAATATGTACATATTATATTTAATTTTTTTTATAATTCTTTTTAGTTAGGTAGTTTATAATCACTCTCAATAAATAAGCTAATCTGGGTCCCGCGCCTATAAAATTATCATGTG